TCAGGCCACGAGCCCCAGAGCCCCGTAGGCTCTTCCTTCTGTCCAGTCAGTCTCCTGAGCATCTTCCACACCCACCCCCATTCCCTCCTGCCCGCCCAGGCCCCGTGCCCCTCTGCCCAGGTTCCTGGCAGCCTCTCCCCTGGCCTCCCAGCCTCCAGTCTTGCCCTCCAGAGGGATCTTTCTTTCCCTATTTTCTTTTTTTGGTACTTGGAATTGAACCTAGAGCCTCGCACGTGCTAAGCAAAGGTTCCTCCACTGAGCCACATCCCAGCCTCAGGCCCACCCTTCTTTTATGGAGACAAGATCTCACTCACTAAGGTGCCCAGGCTGGCCTTGCGCTTGTGATCCTCCTGCCTCAGCCTCCTGTGTTCGGCCCTAGAGGGTCTTTCTAAAGCACAAGTCCGCTGTCCTCTCTGCTCAAAACCTTCCATGGTCGGGAGCCCTCAGCTCAAAGTCGAGGCCTCCCCCGTGCGCCTGCAGGACCTGCTCCCAGCAGCCTCCCGAACTCCTCCCCCCTCCTGATAGCCCGCTCTCTCGCCCAGTGCCAGGCTCTGCTCACCTTTGGGTCTTTGCCACCTGTTTCTTTTTGCTTTCTTTTTGTGTGGTACCAGGGATTGAACCCGGGTGCTTAACCACTGAGCCACACCCTCAGCCCTTTTTTATTTTGAGACCAGGTCTCGCTAAGTTGCTTAAGGCCTGAGTTGCTGAGGCTGGCTTTGAATTTGCAATCCTCCTGCCTCAGCCTCCTGAGTTGCTGGGCTGGGATACATACAGGCGAGGCCACCACACTCGGCTCCCACCTGGTTCTTTCTGCCTAGAGCACCCTCCCCACTCTCTCAGGTGGCCACTCTCCTTTCCTCTCTGAAGCACCTCCTGAGTCAGTTTCCGTGCTTCCATCCTGGTCAGAGGCTCCACCACATCTTACCTTCCCACCTTTCCAGCCTCCTTCCCTACCTCCAGTCTTGCCTTTGCACCAGGTCTGCACAGCAGCCGGGGATCTTCTTCCAGCGCTAACCAGACCAGGCTGCTCCTCTCCTAAAACCTTCCATGGCTCCCTGCCACCTCAGGATAATGGCCACACTCGCCAACCCAGCCTCCAAGGCTTAGCCTCATCCTTCACCAGCCCTGCTCCCCTCACTGATGAAACTTCCCCACACTTTGAATTGGTTTCTCTTCCCACTGGATGGAGGCCCACTCTACGCCGGGCTCTAGATCCTTCCCATCCCACCATCTTCTCCAGCGCGTTGCAGGTGTGAGCCTCCCGCTCTCCAGCAGAAGCAATCCTGTGTCTCTATGGGACTGTACCTGAAGCAGCAGACGCCCTGCCCACATGCCCCTCCTGCCACCCTCCCCTACAGAACCAAGTACTCAAAGCACTGGCCACACCTGCTGTCCCTACTTCCTGCTTCCCACCCACTCTCCTGGGCCACCTCGGCTGGCCTCCACACCATCGTCCCCCAGCAACACCCATGGAGCCAGATCTAGTGGTCAGTGCTTGGGGCCTCCCTGGGCAGTCCCTGGCCCAAGGCACCTGCCTCCCCTTCTAGAAGCACTTGCTTCACGATACCTTTCACGGCTTCCCGCTCCCTCATTAACTACTCCTCAACACCCTCCTTCCGTTCTAAATGTTAGAGTTCCTCAGGGCTCCATTCTAGGTCTTCTCTAGGTGCTATTCTTAGATGACCTCATCCTTCCTAGGGCATTTCCAACCACAGCTGATCACGCCTAAATTTTTCTCCAGTCCTGACTGGCCCATGTTACCTACTCCACTTCTTCTTGGACAGCTGAGTAAAAACCAGACAAGTCTTTGCAATGGCTTCTGACACCCTGCACGATCTGGTCCCAACCTCATCTCATCTTGTATTATTCTCCCTGCAATGTGCTAAAGCTCCAATCATGCCAGCCTTTTTTCATTTCCCACCCCAGGACCTTGGCACATGCTGCTCCATCTAATCAGAATACTCCTCTCCCATTCTCTTTCTGATTTTTCAGCTTAAACACCTCCTTCTCTATAATGCACTTCCTGTTCAACCCTATCTAAAGACACCTCCAACTTTTATTTTCTACTTCGTCACCTTGTTGGTTTTCTTTTGAAAGAAAATTACTCAATGTGATACTCCTGCTAAATTACAAGCTCAGGGCAAGGCCACATGTGTCTCATTAGCTGTTATATCCTAAGCGCCTTGCGGTGTCCGGAGCACATAACAGGTGCTCAATAAACATCTATCAGATTAATGAATGAACACGTGCCCCGACGTCTCAGTCTTGCCCAAGATCTTAAGTCATGTTATTCTCAGCGCTTCCTTCACCTCTTCTCCCAAGGCCTCCCTCCTTGTCCCTTTTCCTCGGATCACCTCAAACCTCCTGCTTTTTGCCCCCCCCCCGCAGTCTCATGACCTCATCCCCGACCCCCACAATTCCCTTATTTTTTGGGCTTCCCCCACACTTGGTGGTATCCACCCCAAGCCTCCCCCCTGGCAGCGCCATCACTGCCCAGCCACATGTCACTGGCTGGTAGCGCCCTCATCAGGCCTCACCACCAGGTAGCACCTCTTTCCAGGTCTCGCTTTTGGTGGCGCCCACATCCCAGTCCCCCTTCCGCCCCACGACCGGTAGCGCCCGCCTCAGTCTCCCCGTTCAGTAGAGCCCGCTCGGCAGCCACCGCCGGGTAGCAGCCCTTCTCCCCGGAGCCCCCTCTGTCGCCCCTTGGTAGCGCCACCCCGGGCCTCCCCGCGCCGGGTCACTTGGTAGTGCCTGCCCCGCGCCCAGGCTGCCGCTCCGCGTTGCCATGGTTCCGCGCGGGCCTGGCACCCCCGGCCTGGGCCGCTGTCCACCCTCCCTCGCCGCGTCCGGGCCGGGCGCACCTTTGAAGTACTCGTTGGCCTGCGTCTTGAGCTCCTCTGCCCGCTTCAGAGCGCCATCAGCCGGGGGCTCATCCCGGGCGGGCTCAGCACACTCAGTCCGCTCGCCCTCCGCCATCGCCATGCCGCAAAGCGACCCCCACCCTGGCAACGGCCGCTAGCGGCGCCCGGCCGAACCGTCGCGAAGGAGCGCCGAGTGACCGCCGCCGCTGCCGCACAAGTGTCGTAAAGCGCGGGCCCCGAAGGCGCCCTTGGCGCGCCTGCGCAGGATCCCCCTCGCCATAGAGCGCGCGGAGGACAAGGTGACCAGAGGGTCCCCAGACAGCGCCCCTTGTAGGATGAGCCAATGAGGAAAGCGAAAGGGGCGCGCGGGGAAAAAAGGCCCGGCGTGGCCCCTGCTCCCAAGGTTACCGTGTTCCGGGGCCGCCAAAGTTTCTTGGGTCTTAAGGACCCCGCCGTCCTTTCTGGTTGACGGGTGGGTGGCCGAAGCAGGTGGCAGGCGGGGCTGCCATTCTAGGCAGCGGAGCCAGACCCGGGCGTCCAGCCACCGCCAATTTTTGTGTGACCTTGAACAAATCTGCCCCCGGCCCCCCACCCCTCCTAGTGCCTCAGTGACCCCTCCGGAAAATGGGTGCTTCCCAAAGTCCCAACCTCGCGGCTCGGGGGTTCTGATTGTTAACTGAGGACACCCCGAGCCCCAAGGAGCCTCGTTTGTCGCACTGTGTTCGTTCCTTTCTGCGTATTCAGCTCCCCAGATCCTGCTGAATCTTGGTGGTGACCATCGCCCGTCGGTGGTCGCTTCCTCTCCCCACCCTCCACTTTACCCTCCGTATGGCCGCCCCGGGGGTCCTCCTAAATCTCTGTAAGACTGGACCACACCCCTCAGCCTTCCCTCGCTCCCCAGGGGGGCCTCAGGAGAAGACCCCGGAGACCCTCGGCTGTCCAGCCTCAGGCAAACTCTCCAGGTCCCGCCCCCTCGGAGCCCTGCACGTTTTATCTTCTGTGCAGCTTTTCCAAACCCAGGCCTCCACGCAAACGGGGGCACCACGTCCTTTAAGGCTCTGCTGTCGTTCCCCACTTGGAAGCATAATCTATCCCACTCAAACCTCTTGTCCCATCGTCTGGCCCACCTTTCCCACCACCGCCAGCAGTCACCCTAGAAGGTAGGTGCTAACGTCATCTTCATTTTACACATGGTGGTTTGCAGGGATCAGCCTACAAGGTCACATTGAGAAGAAGAGACAGGCAGGATTTAAACCCATCTCATCAAATTCCTGTGCTCTTAATTTCTGCTCTGCTGTAGGTACCAGAGCCAGCCTTGTGTGTTCCTGAATTTTTCTTTTCTGTCTTTTTTTTGAGGGGAGGGGTGTTCTGCCCTAATGCAGCTCAGGCTGACCTTGGGCAAGTGATCACCCTCTCTGAACCCATTTGATGGGGTCCAGTGGGGCTAGTAATGGTGCCCATCACACAGGATTAGAGGAGGTTTTATAATATCACATGAGCACAGTATTTGGCTGAGGGACTAAATCAGACTAAGTACTTTTCATATTTACTCCATTGCAAGGCACAGTGCCTAGTGCTACAATGGGAGCTGGGGGTCTTTCAGAGGATCTAGGAGGATCTTGTCAGGGAAGGCTTCCTGAAGGAGGGGTGCCTTAACCAGGATCTGAGGGGAGGAAGGCATTTGAAGCGCGGGGGTGGGGGGGACACAAATACAAGGCTCAAAAGGAGTTTCCTTCCCTTGAAAAGATTCCTACATGGAACACAGGAGAGCGGTATGGGGGTGACAGCAGAGAGACGCGACAGAACAGACACTTCTTCCCACACGGATCTGCAGACACAGTCGCTCTCGAGCGCACACGTGCTCACTGGAGTACAGAGAATCGTGTTACAGACACACATTGGTCCCTGGAACTAGTGTCAAACAGCCCCACGCATGCACACAGCAACACACACACACACACTGAATCATCTCCCCCAGAGACTCACCTACACGTAGAAGGAATGACACCACCAGGCACACACATTGAGACCCACGGAGGAGCTCGGGCCCCTTCACACACACTCACAGGATCAGAAAGTGAGGCGGGCACCCAGCCTCCCCCGAAGCCACCCCACAGATGACTCAGTGCACAGAGCTGTGGTGCCCACCAAGGCGAGGTCTTTATGTGATTGCAGGGACATCAGTGGGATCCAGAGTCTCTTCCCTTCCCCTAGCCCAACACAGCTCCCTCCATGGAGGGCTCGGGTCACCCCCTGAGAGGGGAGTCCGACCTGTCAGATCCTTTCCCCTCATAGCACCAGTCTGGACAGGCCACTCCCTGACAGAGAAGTGGGCAGTGCCTTCCAAAGAGGGGGAGAGTGGGGCTGAGTGTGGGGGCTTCCTGTGGAGAGGAGGAGTAGCACCATCGTGAAGGGAGCTGGGGGGACAGGGGGGCACGCAGCTGTGGTGGAGAGCTGAGGAGTGCCGGCCCCCCTCCCCTCCACCCATGCAGACAGGGCTGTGCGCAGGCCTGCGGCTGGGGAAGGCTCTGGTGGCCCCCAGGCGCCTGGGGTGAAGCCAGGGAAGTGCTATCTGGAGGGCTGGGTAGGGAGGGGAGGGCTTCTAGGACAGGGAGACCTCAGGAGGTGAGGCTGAGAGGCCTGAGCGTGAGGTTCATGAGCAGAGGTCCCGGAGGGTGGAGACCTGGGAGGGAAGACTGGAGACAGAGGGTGGTTGGCGCAAGTTCAGGGGCAGCGGTGGGGGTGGGGTCTGGAATGAGAGTCAGGGCTTGTGAGATCCGAGGCCGGAGCAGTCCACGGGGCAAAGCTAGATTCTAGAATCAGATTCTAGAAGCACGTGGAGGCTGAGTTCTAGAAACTGAGTCTGAAATCAGAGGCAGCTGGAAGCTGTAGCCCAGAACCACAAGAATTTATAGAGTGATGAGAGAATTAGCAAATGTCCCCAGCCCAAGTTCCAGAACACAGGGATTGTGGAATCCTAAGATCCAGAATCAGGAGGAGGTGGGATTATAAGGGCCAGAACCACAGAAATCTATGAGGCAGAGACCTATAATCCGATCTTTGAAGGTGAGTTCTAGACCCAGGGTTATGTGGAGCCACGTGATCCAGAGGGGGAGCTGGAAGACATGATGCCGTCTAGAACCCAGGGAACGCAGGGGCCGCAGTCTAGAATGAGAAGACAGGCACAGCTCCGTTCTAGAACCAGAGAGGTCACAGGCAATGATCTGGGATCAGAGGACCCTGACGGTTGCAAGGTCAAGAGGTTGTACAATCTAGAACCAGTGAATGGCAGAGGTCACGAGGTCTAGAACCTGAGAAAACTGGCACACGGTATCTGGCTCTGGACAGCCGGCACCAGATCAAGACACACACTCACTGCACTTCTCTTCGGGGAAAGTGAGTCTTGAGTGTAGAGAGGTGAAGAGGAATGAGCTGTGTCCACGAGGTTAGGAACTGAGATGATTTAGAAATTAGGAGCCTGAGATTTGGAACCCAATGTATTTCAGATCAGGAAAAACTAGATCCAAGGAAGCCTGGACTCATGGGGTCCACAACCCAGGAAGGCTAGGTATGGTGGCTCCCAGTGGCTTAGGAGGCTGAGGCAGGAGGACTGCAAGTTCAAAGCCAGCCTCAGCATCTTAGCAAGGCCCTGTCTCTAAATAAAAAATCCAAAGGGCTGGATGTGGCTCAGTGGTTAAGTGCTCCTGGTTCCATCCCCTGTGCCTGAAACCAAACGAAAAACTAAAAGAGGGAGTTAGGGAATGAGTTCTAGAACCAGCGGTGCTCACGGGCTTGAAGCTGGAGGGAGTCGGAGGTTGTGTGACCCAGAACATTTCTCTGGAGATGGGGAGGCTTAAACACAGGCAGCATCGGGGAGTTGTGAGTTTAGAACGAGAAAGAGCCAAAGGCTGTGAGATCTGGAATCAGGGGTCTGGGGGCTGTTGGGCTCCACCACAGACCATGCTCGAGGGCCAGGGGAGGCCGGAGGCTGCAGCCCAGGGCCAGGGGAGGCCGGAGGCTACACCGTCTGGAAGCAGAGAAAGTTCCAGGCTCCCCCTGAAGTAGGAAGACGGCGAGTGGGATCGCTGTGCGGCGAGGTGGGGCAGCGGAAGTCCCTGGCAGGGCTTGGGGGCAGCTTGGGAGGTCGAGGTCCCTGGACGCCAGGTCTGACCCAGAGCTTCCCACCCGGCTGAGGCCCGAGGAGCGGGGACAATCCGAGGCCCACATTCCTACGGACCCCGGGCAATTCATAGTGATTAAAAACCATATCATGAAAACACGAAAGTAAAACGATAATAAAGGGAGGACAGAAAGAGACGTGGCTGTGGCCACGCCGCTCCCTGACCTGGCCCTCCCAGCCGGTCCCAGAGTGAGCCTGGGTGCTGCGGGGAGTGAGGTAACCAGGAGTCCTGAGAGGAGAGGGGCCGAGTCCCCCAGAGGTCACTGAGCCAGGCCCCGGGCCCCGGACGGTGCGGGCCAGGGGAGGGGCTGAGGTAGGCCCGAGGCTGGGGGGGCACTCAGGACGGAGGCCCCCTCCTTGCGCTGCTGCAGGCTTGGAGTGTGGCTGAGGTCCCTCCGGGTGGGAGGGGGAGCGGCGGCTCAGCGGGCCTGGGCCAAGCCTGCCGCTGCCTGGAAGTGGCTCCTGGGCTGGACGGGATCCTGGCCTGGACAGACAGAGAGCAGCGAGGGGCCCAGGCCTGTGGGGAGACAGAGAGTCAGGGCCAGAGCCCTCAGACCTGCCTCCCTCCCGGGAGTGCAGGGCAGGGGTGAGGCTGCCCTGTTGGGCCTCCAGCAGCAGCAAACCCGCTCTGTGGCTGGGGTGTGGCTCAGTGGTGCAGCTCCGGCCTAGTGAGACCCTGGGTCTGATCCTCAGCACCACAGCACAAACAAGAGACCCCTGATCTTGTCCTAATTTGATTCTAGGTGTTGCTACTTACTTGCTGGGTGACCGGGGGCAGATGACTTCGCCTCTCTGGGCCTCAGTTCTCTCATCTATAAAATGGGCTAATAATAGACACCTTCCCAAGACTGCTGCAGGGTGTCATCGAGTAAAGCCACATAAAGTGCTCTGAGCGATAACCTATGTGAGTGTGTTACCTGGGAAACGGGGCTAGTCGTACTGGACTCGAGCATGAGAGCTGCTTGTCCAAAACATATTTACTGAGCACCTACTAGGTGCCAGGCCCATGCCTGGTGGAGGAGCAAAGCTCCCTGCCCGGCTGGGGCTGATGCTCCAGGGCGGTGGCCGTACACACACGACTTAGCACAAAGCTCTGCCCAGAGTGAGTGCTCAGCCACAGCCCAGCCCTGCACACAGAACAGCACAGCAGTGACCAAGACAGCCCTGGCCCTGCCCTCGTGGGCACAGACCCACAGGGAGAAGACAGCCTGTGGCCAAACAAGGACACGTGCCAGTGTGATGAGGGGTGTTCAAGGACGTGAGCTCCTGAGGCCATGCAGGGCTTCAAGGAAGGGGTGACATTTACCTGGTCTACAGGTATAGTAACCAGGCAAAGAATGATGGGAAGAGCCTTCCTGGCAGAGGGATCAGGATGTGCAAAGGCCCTGAGGTAGCCTCTGGAGGAAGAGAACTCTAAAGTCATAGTGTCTACAGAGGCCCCATGCAATCCGCCCCTCACCTTTCTCTGCCTCAGCCACATCAGCCTGCTTTTCCCCAAATAAGAGAGAGGTGCTCCCACCTGGGACCTTTGCAACTTCTTGTTCCCTTTTCTGGGACATTCTTCCCCCAGAAATCTTCAGGGTTCACTCCTGCAGGTCTCTGCTCAACTCTCTCCTTCTCAGTGAGGCCAGCTCTGATCTAAGCCCCGGCCCACCCACAACGCTCTTTCCCCTGCACGCATATTTCCCCAGTGGCGCTCGTTTTCCTCTCTTACGCTTTTTAAACTTTGAGACAGGGTCTCACTCCGTTGCCAGGCTGGCCTCAGTCTTGCCATCCTCCTGCCCCAGCCTCCCTGGGATTTCAGATGTGCCGCAGGCCTGGCTGCGCTTCCCTTTGGACTGCATTTACTCCTTCCTTATGGTCTCTCTCTCTCCCACTGGAAACCCAGCGCCGCGAAGGCTGGGGTTCCGCCTGCTTCAGCCGGTGTTTCTCTAGCACCTGGGACAGCGCTGGCACCGCTGTGTGTGCATGAGGGAGAGGTGGTGGCACCCCTGTAACCCCAGGGACTGGGCGGCTGGGGCAGGAGGAGCACAAGTTGGAGGCCAGTCTGGGCAGCTGAGCAAGACCCCATCTCAAAGTAAGTAAATAAATAAGAGGCTGAGGGTGTGGTTCAGCTGTTGGGGCACCTCTGGGTTCAAATAGGGGGAGGAGAGTGGAATGAAGACCGTGGAAGTGGCAGGGGAGGGACACAGAGCAGGGTGTGGCCTGAGACGAGGCTCTGCCAGGCCCCGAGGGATGGGAGCCCAAAGTGGGAAGCTTCTGAAAGGCTCTAGAAGGGTTTTGAGCAGGAGATGGCCAGGGCCACATTGATGCTTTGGAAAGACCCCTCGGGCTGATGCCTGGAGATGTCAGGTGAAGCTCAGCCTTTTTTTTTTTTTTTAATATTTTTTTAGTTGTCGGTGGACCTCTATTTATTCATATGTGGTGCTGAGAACCGAACCCGGGGCCTCACACCTGCTAGGCCAGCCGCTGCCCAGCCCCGCCCCAGCCTGGAGCTGGGCTCTGAAGATGGGAGTGGCTCACTCTTGGAGAGGCTGCCCCCAGCATCTCCACCAAGGCCCCCCGGGGGACCCTGGCTGAGCGCTTACTGCGTGGCAGCTCTTGTGTGCAGCTCTGCTGGGACAGTCTCCGGGAGTCCTCAAAACCTGTCCTTCAGGTGAGAACCGTAGCCACGGGCCCCACCTGACAGACGGCAAACCAAGGCTTCCTGGAGGCAGAAATGGTCCCCAACCCGCAGGCCAGGCGTGGCCAGGGGACCCAGCTGGGACCCGGCCTGATTCCGACTCCAAAGGGCAAGGCTGCCCCTCAGGGTTTCCTCCCCACCGCGGCCCAGGAGAAGAGGAAGGGGCAGCCTCTGCCATGGAGATCCCCTCCGGCCACGACAGTCCCCGCCACCCATCCCGCAGGAGAGGGACCAGGGCTCTGCACTCCCAGGTCGCCACTCACCCAAGGGCTCGTTCATGTCCAGGAGGCGGCTGCCGGGATCCTGCTGGCTCCCAGGGGCTGCTGCTCCTGTCAGAAGGAAACTCTGAGGGAGAGACAGAGTGGCCACCGTCACCACCCTCACCACCCTCACCACCCCACCCCCATCCATGTCCAAGGGGGCAGGTGGCACCGTGGTAGTTACGGCCACTCCTGGGGTCCAGTGGCCACCTGTCACTGTGTGACTGTGGGCAAGTCACTGTCCCAGACACCTCTGTTTCCCTAGACCCTCATTTTCTCCCTTCTCCCCCTTCTTGCGCCCTGGGAGGCGGCTCTGTGGGCGGCGTCCGCCTTGCTGCGGTTCCTGGGCTCAGCGGCCAGGAGGTGGGGGTGGGAGGGGAACTCCCTAGTTGCTCCCCTGCTGGGTCGCTGTGGGTGGGCTGTGCCCTCCGTGGAAGGTTCCAGCTCTATTAAGGCTCCCTATGCTCCCCAGGACCCAGAGGTCACCCCTGTCACCTTGTGGCCAGGGTTAGTGCTGCACCCTGGCCGTCCCCTGTGAGTGAGTTTCCTGCCTAGATTCCCACGAGGAAAGGTGTTGGACCTCGTGTGTACAAATGGGCATCGTGACGATGACACTCCCAGAGTGGTCCCGGGGTTAGGTGAGTTAACCATGCGAGGCACATGGTGAGTCAGCAGCTGCGCATAGTAGGCACTCAATAAATGGAAGCTCTTGATAATATCTTCCACACCCCTCGAGTTCAAAAAGCCCTCTGTAGATCAAGGGGCAAGAGAGCACTTCTCTGGACACTATGGAAGGTCCTGGAGGGAGCCTTGTGGAAGGGACACGTCCAGGCTGGCTTTAGAAAGGACACCCTGTTTGCTCTTGTGCAGTGTGGACAGCAGGGTGAGGCTGGAGGCAAGGAGACTGGAGGGGAGGCTGCTTGGTTTAGTTGGGTTGGGCATGCATCAGCGACCGCCCACAGTCATCTGGGGGCCTGATCTCACTGAGTCCCCATGACAGTCCTGTGAAATGTAATCAGTGCCATTGTCCAAAGGAGGAAACTGAGGGTCAGGGTGGTAACACGACCTGCCAAGTTCTTGGGCAGATCTGGGGCCTGAAGCCAGTCTGGCTCTAGGGTGTATACGTTCAGCCCCACACTGGGAATCCAAGGCCCGGCCCGTTCCTGTCGTGGGAGGGTCCCCTGCTGGTGCTGGCCACCCGCACCTCTCCCCTCACCCTGCTCACGTTTCTTCGTGGCACTAATCATGGATTGGCAACGCCTTCTCATACCCATGAGCAGAACTAGAAGATCAAGGTCCTGGTTCAGCGGGACCGTTGATCTGGCGTTGGACCTTCAGCCGGCCCCTGGCCCTCTCTGGTTGCCCATCTATAAAACAGGAGGTTTGAGCCTGCTGGCTCCGGGGCGGACCCCACCAGCCCCAAACATACCAGGCTGAGGGGAGGCAGCAGGAAGCTCTCGGCCTCTAGGCTGGGGGGCCGCTTGGGGGGTCTCACTCCCAGCAGCTCCACCCCCTCGTCCACTGGGCTGTGGGCCAGGGCCCTGGGGAACGACAGGCAAGACTCAGAACACAACAGACCCGCGGCAGGGGTTGCACCGGTGCCCCCAACTCACGCCACGCACCGACTGGCCCAGCGACATCAGCTGCCACCCAGCCAACTCCTCGCCATCGCCCCCGCCCACATCCACCCACCCACTTGTCCATCTGTCCACCGACCCACATGCTCATCAGTTCCCCCCTTCCTTCATTTAATACGTCTTTATTAGGCACCTCCCAAGCTGGGAGCCTTGGGCAACATGGAGATGTAGCCATAAAAGTCTCACAAGGATAGAGAAGGGACCTCTCTGGAGTCCAAACAGGCAACAGCCGCTCTTGGACAGCGGACTAGTAATCTAAGGTCGTTGGAGGGGGACCTGGCGACATTTTGTGTGGGTGTACATTTTCTAAGAAGGGAGTCTACAGCTTTCAACAGGTTCTGGGTGGGGATGCGGTTCAGCGGTGAGGCCCTGGGTTCCCCCCAGCACCACACACACACACACGCACACACACGCACACACACACACACGTCACTTCTCCAGCTCCCACGGGTGTTGGGAGACAGTTCTAGGCACTGCTGGCTGCCGCAGCAGCGCCTCCCGCCCCGCGGATGAACCCGGTGGTGCTTCACCATGAGCTCCGCGACCCCAGGCCTTTTGAGACAGGGTCCCACTAAGTGGCTTAGGGCCTTGAGAATTTGCTGAGGCTGGCCTCCCACTTGAGACCCCCCTGCCTCAGTCTCCCAAGCTGCTGGGATCACAGGTGTGCACCACCGGTTACTGTGAGAGAAACTGTCACCGAGTCAGATAATGTTCCGAAGGAGTAACCCTGGCTGAGGTGGGGTGGGGGTTGGCAGTGAGCGTCGCAGAGGGTGCTCCAGGGTGACAGCTTAGGAAAAGGCAGAGAGTTTGGAACAAACTTCGCTTGTGCTGGGGACAGTGAAGCCCTGCCCGGGGAAGTGCTGGGGCAGGGGGATGACTGTTGTGGGAAAGGCTGAAGGAGGGGGCAGGGCAAGGCAGGGACGGGGACGTCCACCTTCACTCCCGCCTCCTTGACTCTGGCTCACCTCTTCCGAGCCCCGGCCGTGGGGCCGGATGCTGAGGGGTCCCCTCTGGAGGGGCTGGAGCAGTTCAGACGGGGGTCACTCCCCCAGCGGGGCAGCAGGGAGGACTCGGGGGTCAGGGGCGACAGGCCGTGGAAGCTCCGTGCGCGGGGCCGGCGCACAGCCCCTCGGGGTCTGTGGTAGGCGCTGGGAGGCTGCTGGCTGGCGCTGAGCTGGAAGTCGTCATCCATGGAGATGTACGGGGCCAGCATCTCCAAGTCCAGAGCATCGGCGTCCTGCAGGGGACGGGCAGGGGTAGGGAGTTAGGAGCTCAAGCCTCGGACTTTGGAGGACCTGGGATGGAGTCCCAGCTCCACCACCTCCAAGGTGCATGGCCGAGGCCAGGAGTCGGAGATTCAGATTCTGCCTCTGAAGCGGGTATAAGGACTAAGTGGTGGTCAGGCACAAGATGGCCCAAGATCCTCCTCTGTGGGGATTCCCACCCTAGCTGGTGCCCAGTGACTGGGGCTGACCTGGTCACAACAGGAGACGGTCTTCTGTGACTTCCACACTGGGTTATAAAAGGCATGGTGCTGTCCATCTCTCCCCCATCACTTCCCGACCAGCTCCATGGAGACCCCCAACCCACCCAAGGAACTAAGACCTTTGCCCACAGCCCAGCGAGTGACCTGGGAAGTGAGTCCTCTAGGCCTTGCCAAGTTTTCCAAGAGACCCCGAGCAGAAGCCACCAGCTAAATGGCTCCCAGACCCGAGACCCTCGGGAATGAGGTGAATTTACAAATACTCAGTGTTTGAACCTCTACGTTTGGGGTAATTGATGATCCAGAAATAGATACGAGGTTTTGATACGAGAGTGGGGTGCTGCCATTAACCCAAATCTGTACTATAGGTGTGGCTTTGGAATGGGGCAGGGGTCAGCAGGACTGTGGAGCAGGTTGGGAAGTCTGTCGCTGCCGTGTTGACTACTCTCAGACCTGGGACGTCCCCCAGAGTCCATGCGTTGACAGCAGGGCACCTCAAGTGGCAGGTCAGGGGAGGGGTTTTCAGGCACTGACCGGCTCTAGGGGCTCTGACCTCCCCAGTGGATTAATCCACCGAGAACGGATTCACTCATAATGGATCGTCAGTAGCTGAGTTCAAAGTAGCTGAATGGAGCTGCGGAGACCTGGCTGCAGGAGCAGGTCGCTGGGGCGTGCCTGGGGGGTGACCTGTCCCAGGGCCCCTGCTCCCTCTCCCTCTCTCTCCCACTTCCCAGCTGCCATGGGCTGGCTGTCCTCCGCCAGGTCCTTCCACCTCTTGTCTCTGCAGCAGCATCAGCTGACCTGGACGAAGACCTTTAAACTGCGAGTCAAACCCTCCTCTAAGTTGCACTTGTCAGATGTTTTGGCCACGAAAAACCTAACACAGCTTTGAAAAAAGCATCTGTCACAGTCTGAACCCTGCGGCTGCGGCTGCGGGCTGAGGAGGAAGGGAGGCGAGGGGACAGGAAGCGGAGGAGAGAGCAACACGGAAGGGAGGAAATGGAACTGGTGAGCTGGGGACCAGCCGAGGGGCTGCAGCCAGTGTCGGGGGCCACCTAGTGCTTCCCATCCCTCCCGGTAAAAGGCAGGAGGAGACGGAGAAGCTAGAGGAGGAAACGTCACCATGAAGGAACTGGGATTCTCAAATGCGAATCTGAAAATCGGGTATGAATTTGGGCATTCTCCTCCTCTCTGTGCGCTGAAGAATTAACTTTGGGCTGGGCTTGGGGCTCGGTGGTGGAGCACTTGCCTAGCATGCTTGCGGCCCCGGGTTCCATCCCCAGCACTGCATAAAAATGAAAAAATAGAATTAACTTTCTCCCAACTGAAGTCTTGTCTGGGGGATCAGAAAACCCCTAGAACCTCAAGGGGTAGCTGAGTCTGCTCTTCGCCATCGGCCCTTGGAGTGTGCCTGATGGTTCTACAGATAGGTGACTCGTGAGAGTCTGTGCTGATGAGATGACCCTGATGGACAGGGCACTGGCCCTGATAGAAAGACCAACATGTCACTCGAGGGTTGGGGCTTTGGGCCACACGGAATCAGCCTGACCCCCAGGGAAGGCAGGGGCAGCCCTGGAAACTCCATTCAATCATGGGGGCGATGACTCGGTCAGTCCAGCCTAGCCACGCCTGTTAAAACCCCTGGACAGTGAAGCCCGGGTGAGCTTTCTGGGCCAGCAAGCCTCCACATGCACGTTGCCAGGAGGGTAACGTGACCCTAAGGGCAAGAAAAATTCCCACTGGAGACCCCTCCAGCCCAGATGCCACCTCCAGCATCTCTTCCTTTGCTTCTGATTTGTATTCTTTCGCTATCATAACTACAGTTGTTGCTAGGTGTGGTGGCGCACGCCTGTAATCCAGCAGCTCAGGAGGCTGAGGCAGGAGGATCTCAAGTTCAAGGCCAGCCTCAGCAATTTAGCGAGGCCCTAAGTAACTCAGTGAGACCCTGTCTCAAAATTAAAACTGATTTTCAATCCCTGGCACCAAAACAACGGCGACAAACAACAAGAACACCCCCAAACCCCACAGTTGTGAGCACAGGCCTGTGCTACATAATGATGTCCTGGTCAACGATGGCCTGCATATGGACTCGACTCCATAAGGTCATAGTGGAGTTGAAAGTTCCTCCCACCTCGTGACCCTATAGCTGTTGTAAGGTCATAGTGCTTCGAGTGGCCAGGTCTGTGGTGACGCTGGTAGAAACAAAGCCACCGAGTTCCTGGTCACACAGAAGCTGAGCACACACGGTGGTGTCCAGTATGAGGTACTGGATGGTGATGACCGACACCTGTGCTGCTGGCCTACGTCTTCAGCCTGCTGGGCCTTTAGGGTTATTTTAGGGCACGTTCCTTGGATGTCTGAGAAGAGTTGGCTGAGCCAGGGGCAGTGCCCACCCAGAGTCCCAGCCACTCAGAGGCTGAAGCAGGATGATCGCGTGAGCCAGGAATTAGAGGCCAGTCTAGGCCACAAAGCAAAACCTCCCCTAAGTAAACAGGCAGATCCGTAAATAAAGCTTGCTGTGTGACAGTACAGTCCAGTGAGCCACGTTACACCCGCAGCAGCCTCACACACACCGCAGTTCACAGAGTGTGTCGATCACCTCCTCTTGGGCTTGATTTAATCTCTGCTGCCCGTTCTTCATGGCCCTAGAAGCCCGAGGCCATGTGTGGAGAGTACACTTTGGAGCTTAGGTGTGTGGCTGGCTGCACCACAAGATGACATGGCCTAAGGCTGCGTTCCTCAGAGTCTCCCTGTCATGAAGTGACACAGGATTGTCAAGTACCTTCCTGAACACTAGGATGGGGAGCCTGCCGGTCAGAAGTGAGAGTGGCCCTGGGGACCCCTAAACTTGCAACTGCTGTCAGAAGTCCTGGGGAGAGCTGGGCGTGGTAGCACATGCCTGTAATCCCAGTGACTCGAGAGGCTGAGGCAGGAGGATCACAAGTTGGAGGCCAGCCTCAGCCTCAGCAACTTAGTGAGACCCTGTCTCAAAATAAAAAACAGAAAGGGGCTGGAAGTACAGCTGCTCGGTGAGAGAGCACCCTGGGTTCAGCGCCCGTGGTGGAGTTGCTGGGGTGAAGAAAGAAACACGGATGGTACTAAATGAAAAGAGCCCTTTGGATCACCAAAGTTCTTCCTTTTTCTTTTTGTCTAAAAATCTGAATTGGCTTCATTTTCAATTCTTGAATTTGGCAACCCTTCATTCCATAAAATAGAGCAAGTATTTCTGGACCATCCAAATTCTAGACAGAGAAGCAGGGTGAAAAGCTCCTGAGGGGGCTGGGGATAGCTCAGTTGGTAGAGCGCTTGCCTGGGCCCAATCCCCAGCACCAAAAAAAAAGCTTCTGAAGTTGTGAATCCGTGTCACTTTTTTTTTTTTTTTATTTTGGGAAATGAACCAATCCAAAAAAAAAAAAAACCCCCCACGCCGTAGGGGGATTGCTTAGCCACTGCGCCACATCCCCAGCCATTTTTTTATTTTGTTTTGAGACAGGGTCTCGCTCAGTGGCCCAGGCTGGCCTTGAACTTGCCTCAACCACCGGAGTTGCTGGAATTACAGGTGTGTGCCCCTGCACCTGGCTACACGTTACCTTTTATGAGAAAGGGGCAGTGACTTGGGGTGCGGGACCAGTAGCTCAGAGGGTGGCATCTAGAGCCATGGAGAAAACCCCTGGGAATCAATCGGGGACAGGAGTCCCCATGCAGGACTCCCGAGATCCGCCAGATCAATTACAAACCACTATGAACTCGGACCCTGAATCCTGCCTCTCTCCCCCGTTTTTGAATAGGAGTGCGGGTGGCAGTTCTGTGCCTGTCCCACCTCCACATGCCCCGTGTGCAGTGACGGGGGACTTGTCTCCAGCTCACAGGCCAACAGGGGCTGACCCGAGGAGCTCCGGGTTCTGGCACAATGGGAAGGGACTTGGGAGGGGGCGAGCGAGGCCCGAGTCATCGGGGTCCCCAGTGGTGCACACTCTGCCTGCCACACTGTAGGGGGCGAGATCTGCATGACCAAGATGACAGAGCAGGAGTGCTGCGCGTCAGATCTGAGAACAGGTCATGATAGACACCGCCTTCTGTTTTGGCCTCTCCTCCTGTCTCCCTGTCTCCCTTTCTGTCTGTCTGTCTCCTGGTTGGATTGTGTGCCTTGAGCCAGCTGCCATGTCCTGAGGACAGTTCTGCAGCCCCGCGTAGTGACAAACTGAGGCCTCCACCAAAGCCAGGGAGGTGCTGGGCCCGTCTGCACCATGCACAGGAACCTGGGGACAAATCCTCGCGCCCCAGGTAGCGCTGCCTAAGAGCCCGACTTCGGCCTCTTGGGAGACCTAAGTCACCCAGCCAAGCGTCTCCCGAGGTCCTGGTTCTCAGAAACCGCGAGACGTAATAAATGATGATTGTTTTATGGTGATGAGTTTTGGGTCATTTGTTATATAGCAATAGGTGGCTGGTGCACCATGTCCCCCAGTCACCTGACGGACCTGTTCAATCAAGCAGCCCTTCAAATGTCATCTGTCCATTGTCACCCAGTCAATGACAGTGGTCCATCTATGTAGCTATCCACCCAAACCTCCATCTGTCCATCCTTCCAAATACCTGACGAAACACTACCCATCTAGCATCACCCACCTAATGGATACAGTGATCCGTCTGTCCATCTGTCCATCCATCCATCCAGATATCTGCCTAAACTTCATGCATCCATCTCTGTCATCCACCTGACGAACACCATGATCCATCTGTCCATCCACTCGTCCCTAAATCCAGAAATGTCAGTCCCCAGAGCACAGAGGAGAAGAGCTCCTGCCACGCCCGCCCTCACCTGAGCTGCGCCCAGCTCCGTCTCCGCTGCCCCGAGGATTCTCCCGCTGGGGAAGAGCCCGCGCGCGTTCTCCACGCCCACAGGTGGTTCACCTGGGAGATCAGCCTGCGGGGGACAGAGCAGGGATTTGAGGAAGTCTGGGGGTCAGGGTAGCAGTGGGGGTCAAGTGTGAGATGGCGGGGCCCCAAGGGGGTCAGGTAACAAACGTAAGTGAGTCCATCCTGGTGTGGGAACGCAGAGTGCCCGGGCGCACAGGGATGGCCAGGCAGACAGGGAGGGCCAGGACGGCCGAGGCCAACACCCCTAGGCCTGCAGCTCCAGGGGCCTGGAGTCCCAGCGCCTCGTCCTGGTTGCCATCCGTGTGTCTCCAGTGGCCGCCGGGCAGGGCCCTCAGCAGATAATCTCGACCCGCTGGGATCCAGGCCGGGCTGTGTGCAGGCCAGTGAAGGGGGCAGCCGCCAGGGTCTATCGCGCACCTGGGAGGTCGCCGGCCCCTCCAGGTGCTTCCCAGGAACACTCTCACCTAACCCACAGTGACCACAGCGTGGCCCCTGTTCTGGTCCCCGTCATGCAGGAGAAGAACCCGAGGCTGCAGGAGCTCACTGGCCCCGGGGACACAGCGCGTAAGGAGCAGGTTCTGGATTTGAACCCGGGACTCTGCAAGTCAAGCTCTTAGACATTCTCGACTCTTCAGGGCGACACTCAGAGCGCCGGGTGCTTGGCCACGGGACCATTGCTTGTGCCAGTTCAGACACGCTGGGGTTCCCAGCCCGGCCGAGGGCCGATTCCCGAACTTGAAGAGCCTGGGGTCCAGGTCTCAGAGGAAGCCCAGCCCACCCCATCCCCCCTTCCACGACTGACGGAGAAACGGAGGCCAGGGCGCAGCAAGGTCAGGCCAGAGGCGAGGGGGCTGCTTACCGGGAGAGGGCTCCGGGGACGCCGCGCAGCCTGCGGGGTGCTGGGGGTGGCAGCTCCCGAAGCTCCATCGAGGATGGGCGCCAGGAGGCAGCGGAGGTCAGGGCTACAGAAACGGCGGGGGTCAGCGGCCAGGGTGGCCTCGCTCAGGGAAGGGGGGTGCAGGAAGGCCAGGATGCGGGGGCCGGGGGCATCTGCAGGACGGGGAGGACATGGGTGATCATCTAGGACCGAGGGCCAGAGCTCCCCAAGCCCAGCCCAGGGGACACAACCAATCAGGATGGCACGGTCCTTAGCGATGGGAGAAGGGCCTGCAGGACCCCTGGGGGACCCCTGCGGGGCCAGGGGTTTAGTTCCCTGATGGTGGAGGGGCCCGGGAGGCTCTAGACAAATGGCTCAGGGGCCCCAAGTGGCGTTTGGTGATTCAGATGGGCCCAAGTCCCTGGGGATCAAGTTGGCCATCACTGAGAAGAGGAAAGGACACGAGCAATCCACCCACGTCCAGAGCACGGACATGGAGGGAAGCCCATCCAGGATGAGGGGCCAGGAGAAGGAAGAGGGAGGAAGGGGCCAGACTCGGGGGACCCAGGTTACTGGAAGCCACAGAGTAGTGAGGTGTGGGCAATGGGGAGCCATAGCAGGAGACAGAGGAGGGGGGGCGACAGAGACTGAGACCATCAGATATAGAAAAGGGAGGATAAGAGAGAGAAGAGCATTCTGGGAAGGAAAACTGCAGGTGCAAAGGCCCTGAGGCAAAAAAGGGTGTAGCAACGTCTAAGAGCTCTGAGGACGCTGGTGTGTTCTGGAGGGTGAGTGGAAGGACAGGAGGGCAGGAGGCAGGTCCCACAGGGCCGGGAGAGCCAAGTTAAGGTCCATGTGCTTTCTTCCAAGGGTCCTGGGGACACAACAGCTCTGCTCCATACCAAGCCTGTGCCCAGGATTAGGGGCGTCCTTCTGAGAGAGGGCACCCCCCTGCAGGGCTCTGCGAGAGTGTTGCTCCGTCTGCTCCAGGGACAGCACCACACCCGTCTCTTCCACTCGGCTGGGCACAAAGCAGACAGGGGAGTGGTGATCAGAGCGGTTCTCGGCCAGGCCCAGGCAGGCTTCAGAGATGGGCGCCCTGTGCAGGAGGCAGCTGCACCCGGGGGCCGGAGAGTGTCTCCCAGAAAGAAATTCCCCGTGATTATTTGTTTCTTATCAGGATTTGGTTTTTGTTGACTGCTTTTTATAACACAGGCCAAGTAGCCCTGATTCAAAAATCCAAGATTCTAAACCTAATGAGTGGAAAGTTCTACACCGTGAAACTTGGTGTCACGCCCCAAACTACTTGAAATAAAGTGACCTTCAGGCCAGGTGCATAGCTACACGTGAAACACAAAGGGTCTTGTGTTTAGATTTGGTCCCGTTTCCGAGAGATACCCCATTAAGTGCATGTGCAGATACTCCAAGGTCCACAAAGCCCAACACACAACCCCCTTCTGGTCTCAAGCCTGTTGGATAAGGGACACTCAACCTGTGATGGCATTTAAAAGAAAGTTAAATTTGTCACTTCCCAAGCTCCCTCTGTGGCAGGAAAGAGAAAAAGCAGCTGGCATCTAGCGCAGGCCGAGTGGGTGGAGAGAAGCAGCCAGGAGCTGGGGTGGGGGACAGGGGACAGAGGGGGAGGTGCAGGGACAGCGGGAGCCCGGGCCCAGGGTGCCAGCGAGAGGCCTGAGCTAAGCAGTCTCCTTACAGATGTGCACTCATGAGCATCCTCTCCTACACGTATCCATGAAAAGCATATTTTTAACATCTTCTTCCTTACATTACCAAATATGAAGAACTCTCAGGGCCTGGATTTTATGAATAAGCGCTTGTTTAGGGAGCTTCTATTCATAGACACTTTTCATACTCCAGGGGACGGGTTTATAAATACATCCTTCTGATGTCCCCCGCACCGCCCGTCCCACCGTCTCTGGCTACGGAGACGATCCAGATGCTCACTGGGTGATCCGTGGGGACAGTGGGTGTGGGGCTGGGGACGGCCCCTCATTTGCATCTCATCAGCATAAGCCAGGCAGGTGGGCTCTGACCCCCTCTCTACCCTCTCGAAAACCTGTCCTGGGTTGGAGACATCTCAATGTGGCCTGGACCAGAACCACACTTACCCCTTGAAACACACAGAGGACACAACCACACAAATACACACACACGTCCCAAGAGCACCCAGCGACACACACACACGCACACACACACACACACATGCACACACGCACACACACACAATATCATATGTTCTTAAAGTTAAGTTTACCTGCCAGAAAACTCCAAGTGACATATATGGCTCAAACCACATTTTGATAGGGGTAAGTACCAAACAGAGAAAGGGGTTTGCAATTTTTAAAAGCTCAGTCAAGGGTGCCTGGCTGAAAACACAAGGGGGGAATTACAAATAGTTCTAAGTGAATGGGCAAATTATAATATCAGGAGAGAAAATGGGGAGACCTGACCTTGTGTGGTCTCTCAGGAAGTGATGTCTGATTTTAAACTGAAAGGGTGAGTAGGCATGACTCAGGAAAAAGGGGAAGACTGGGAGAGGAGGAGACTGCATGTGCAAAGGGCCTGAGGTTTGGCTGGTGAATGAGAAGGGGAGAGAGGCAGGAGTCCATAGGGCCTTGGACTTTCTCTTAAGGATACTGGGGAGCTGCAAAAGGGTGCTCTCAGTGCAGGCATGTGGGATGCAAACTACTTGAATTTCAGATACCTCCCAGATCCAGGAAAACCCCTAAGGTTTTGGAAACTGAAGCCACGTCCTGGAAGATAACCTTCAGGGAAAAGCTGTAATTGGGTACATCCGTCTTTTTGAGCATGTGGTACTGAGGATAGAGTCCAGAGCCTTGGGAGTGCTCTGCCACCGGCCACACCACTGACTCTGTCTTGTGATCATACGCTGTCCTTGACACCTCTGTATTTCTCAATGGTGACAAACCTCTAAGGTGTGTGACCCATTAGGAACAACTAAAATTAAAAACAAACCAAGCCAGGCGCAGTGGCCCACGCCTGTAATCCCAGCAGCTCTGGAGGCTGAGGCAGGAGGATCGCGAGTTCAAAGCCAGCCTCAGCAACTCAGGGAGACCCTGACTCTAAAAGAAATACAAAACAGGGCTGGGGTGTGGCTCAGTGGGTGACAGGCCCCGGGTTCCATCCCCAGGGCCCAAAAGGAAACAAAACCCTCTAGGATCAGAGGACAGAAGAGCGGTTGCCAAGCCCTGAAGGCATTCTGGGGATGAGATGTGGAGGCAGCGCGTGCGTCTGTCAAAATGCACAGAACCGTGTGTCAAAGTGCCAACGTGCTCTGAGTGGGAACTTTAAATTTTAAAAAGACCCTGTGTCTTGGCTGCACTTATGAATTTAACTTAGAGTTCCTTTCCACTTACACGATCAAGACGCACACGCGTGTGCACGTACAGCCACGTGCATGGACATATGCCCAGGGCCTCACGTACACTGATGTGCAACACGCACACACACCCGTCCACGCACACGGACAAGACCCGTGCGCACAGCCTCTGCCTGGCCCGCTCACCTGATCAGGAAGTGGACGCAGACGATGCTCTCTGACTGGGGGCCCCGGCCCCCTGACACCACCGTGGCCTGGGTCTGGGTCCACAGGTAGCCACCGCTCCGGGCCAGGAAGCGATATTGCCCCGTTACTGCCTGGCCCTTGCTCAGCACTGGGGACAGGGTGGAGGGAGGTCAGGGCCACAGAAGGGGACAGGAGGCTCTGGGGTCTGGGGTGGGATGTGTGCGGGGCCTGGAGGGTAGGGTGGCCTGGGGCTTGGGGAGCAGGAATTGGGTGGGTGGGGAGGGCTCCCTGGGGTGTGGGGAGCTGGGGACGGCATTGATGGGGGCCACGTGGCAGCTGGCTCCAGGCGGGGACTCGGGTCACATACAGGTGTGGATGCTCCTGCTGACGGCGTCGGAATCCAGGGCGTGGATGTACTCGTAGGCGGAACAGCCGATCAGGTCCTCGGGGCTATAGCCAGCGACCTCTGCGATCCTGGGGTGCAGTGGAGGGTCAGGGCTCAGGGCTGGGGCAGGGGGGGTGGGAGGAAGAGATGGGGACACAGGAACAAAACCAGCAAGGTGAGGGACAGGGTTGGAACAGGAAGGCAGAGAGAAGGGAACAGGAAAAGCGAGTGTAGGAGGGTGGAGTGTAGATAACAGCCCCCCAAGTCTCCCCGTTCCAGCCTCAGAACCTGTGAGCATGGGGCCCTGCACGGCAAAGGGCGTTTCAGATGGGATGAAGGTGAGGAGCGAGGGCGGGCAGGACCCCGGGGGGTTCTTGGTAGAAGGGGGCAGGCAGTTTGGTATGAATGGGGACTGAATGGGATCAGGGGCCAGGAGCCAGGGGACACAGGTGGCCTCAAGCAGCTGGGGAAGCAGGGCAACAGGTTCTTCCCTAGGCCTCAGCAGGAACCAGCCCTAATGTTGGACTTGTCAGACTCATTTCAAATTCCCCATCTCCAGAACAGAGGGACAGGGAATTGATGTTATTTTGAGCCATTGAGTTTGTGGCCAGCAGCCATAAAAACCCAACACGAGCCAGGTGTGGTGGTGCACACCTGGGAGGAGGCTGAGAAAGGAGGATGGCCAAGTCAGAGGCCAGGTTCAGCAACAGCAAGAACCCATCTCAACATAAAAATAGAAGGGGCTAGGGACGTGGCTCCGTGGTAAAGTGCCCCTGGGTTCCATCCCCGGCATCAAAAGCAAATCAAAACACCTGATGTAAGTGGAAAGAGAGAGTAAAAAAAAAAAAAAAAAACAAAGGGAGGAAAAAAAGTGAAACAGGAGGAAGAGAAGAAAGAAATTGCAAAGAAAAAAGAGAAGGAATAAAAAGAAATAATGATGATGATAATGAAAAATGAGACTCTCGTGTTCTACGCTGAGCAATGCACTTGAGTGCTCAGGGTAACTCCACAAGGTAGGCACCATTATTCTCCCACAGAACAGTTTGGGGAACTGTGCACAGAGAGGTGAAGACATTTGGCCAAGGACACACAGTCAGGTGGAAACTCAAGCAAATCTGAGCCCAAAGTCAATGTTCCTGAGCATGACTCCACAGTGAGGGAAAGATGGAAAATGGAGGAAGGATGGGAAAGAAGGACAGAGGAGAGAGAGGAAGAAAGAGAGGGAGAAAGAAAGGTCAGAAAAAGAAGAATCATGAGAGTTTATCCAGTGCGTCCTGCTGTGGGGGTGGGGGGCACGGTGCTAACTGCTCCACATAAACTGACTCACTTAAGAGAAGCAACAGAGGGACAGAGGGGACACGGTAAGAAAAGACGCGGAGAGAAATGGAATGAAAGGTCAAAGGCCCACAGAGATTCAGACGGGCAGACACTCAGGACCGACGGACGCACAGGGAACTGCAAACAGAACCAGAGCGTGGGGCGGGCGGGGGCGTGAATCTGGCAGAAGCGGGGCACTGCCCACCTCTCGTCGCAGTAGGTGAATTTCATGTCCAGGCTGTGGCGACTGAGGAAGGCCCCCCGGCCCAGCGGGGGCTCCAGGCTGCCTGGGTGGGGGATGGCTTCACAGATGAGCACCAGGCACTGCAGCGGGGGCTCGGCGCTGGGGCTCCCGGCGGGGGACGGCTGTGCGGGGGGCTTGTAGACCCTCATATGTCCGGAGCAGTGCAGCACCTGGGCCGGGAGAGGGGGCGGTGGGTCCCGTGTGGGTCCCAGGTGACCCACGGGGCGGGGAGGCAAGTCTCCGCAGGCCCCACAGGGAACAGCAGAACCCCTGACGTCAGAGTGTCACCTCAGAGAGCTCCGAGGACCCAGGTTCCAGCCCCACACGGACTCTGAAGCTCAAGTCCATAGAGATCCAGCCTGAGAGAGGTGACAAGGACCCTAGATTCCCCACCCCACGGACACCCAATTCCTAAATGCCCTGGAGTCCCCCTAGGCCCAGCTTCAATGAGCCCTGCAAAATCCTGGCCTCGGGGACAGCGGACGCCCAACCTCCCCAGACCTCCGGGGGCCCAGGCCCCGCCCCCGCAGGCCCAGGCCCCGCCCACCTTCCAGGTGGCTGCCTTGAGGTTGAGGGTGCGCCCTCTGCTGGTGAGGGTGCTCTTCATGCGCAAGGAGAAGCGCCGCTCCGTGGGGGGCTCGGGCTTCTTCTTGGACAGGCCTGGGGAGGCAAGGGGATGGCGGGCAGGTCACCTGCAGCTGCAGCGGGCCCAGCGTCCTCCAGCACCTTGGCTGCTAAAGGCGCCCCATCCCTGACGCGCAGAGTGATCGTCCACGGGAAGGGTGTGTCCCTCAGTGCCAGGCAGGGGCCATTTCTCCTCTTCATTTATGCCAATCCAGTGCACCACAGGAAGAGGGGGTGCGCCGGGGTGGGGTGGGGTGAGCCTCAGCTTGCTCTCCTGTAGAGTGGGGCAGGGGCACTCACTTGGGCTAGGGGTCAGGGCATCCTGGAGCTCCTCTTGGTCGCAGGGATGGATGAAATCAAAAACACTGTGCCCGATGAGCTCCAGCTGCCAGAGAGGGCAGAGCAGAGGTCGGAGGAAGGGCCGCCTAAGGGGGCCCCTGGCCCTTTGCCTCTTCTCTCCCTCAGCCCTGCCCCAGGTCCAGCCTGGGGTGCTCCTCGGTCTCTCATTCATTATCATTTATTCGGCACCCACTGCTTGCCAGGCCCTCCAAATGGGGGTGACCCCACACACAGAGCCCTGCCTTGCAGAGCCTACCAGCTAGTCTGGGGAGACTTACAATAAAGAAATCAAGTAAAACAACATTTATCAACAATATGATAAGCACCAGGAAGGCAATCAAGGCTGGGGAAAGTGACGAAATGATGGGAGGCTGTTTTTTTAGAAAGAGTGGCCCCTTGAGAGTTTCTTTGACATGAAAAAAAAATTGTTGAACAAATCAAGTGAGGTGGTCTTGTGGCATGGGGTGAGTGTATTCTAAAAAGGAAAGCAGCACAAGCAAAGGCCCTGAGGTGAACCATGCCTGCTAGGCAGGAGACCCAGCTGCTGGCTTCAGTCTAGGAAATGAGCCTAGTGCTGGGAGAAGGGACAGATGGACCCACAGAGGCTCCCAACCTGGTGGTGGCAGAATGACATCTCACTCCTCTGACACTACCTCTTGGAAATTGGAAGCATGACTCTGCCCCTCCCTAGCTTGGGGACCTTGGGACATTCGCCTCTCTTGAGTCCAAGAGTTCACACCAACAGAGGAAGTGGTACCCGGAGTCGGGTGGGGAGGCAGGGGAAAGGAACAGAGGGCGACTGTGGAGTCCATGTATGTGAAATAGAAAAAATAACAGGAATCCCCACATGGGGCTTGCTGTGGACACTGTTAACCAGCTCTGTTTTCTAAACATCTCTTGTCTCCGGTTGCCCACCCCCATGGGCCCTGCCCTCTTCTCCCACTTGTGACCCCTTGCTGATCTCCCAAACTCTAGTCACTCTCCCTCCAACTCTATCCCCAGGAGGACTCTTTCTTTCTAAAGTGTGAATCGGATTCTGCCCCTCTGGCACACCCTTCTCCCCTGCTTCCAATCATTCCATGGCTCCCCAGAGCCCTGGACACAAACCTTCGAAGTTGGCCCTACACTGTCCAGCCCTTGCTCATCTCTCAACCTTCTCTCCCATCTTCTTCCACTGTGTCCTGCTCCGGCCGGGTGAACTTCTCCATCTTCCCACAGTGCTCTGCTTCTCTCCTCTCTGATCCCCTTGCACGTTCTGGTTGCTCATGCAATCCTGGTCTTCGCTGGTCCCTCCCACTTCACACACCTCAGCTGGCCAGGTCCTTCAGGTTTCAGCTTGGATGTCCTTTTCTCCAGGAATCCCCAGTACCCGCCCCCCCAGGCTTGGTCAGGTACCCTCTACCCCTGTTCCCACAGTCCTAGGCTGTCCCATCTCAGCCCTGACTATTCTGTCTTGCTGTCTGGTGACACACCTATATCCCCTCTGTCCTGTGAGTCCCGTAAAGGCAAGGCCAAGGCTGTGTGGCCCCCACGGTACCCCCAGCATCACCAGCTCAGGGCCAGGCACAGAGCAGGCAGCTCACCTGACTGAGGCCCAGGTGTTTGCTGACGTTTTCCGACAGGTAAGCCATGTCTCCCTCGGCGGTGAGCACCATGACGAAGCCCTCCAGGGCCTTCAGGTAGCAGGCATCCAGTGGCTCTCCTCCTGCTCCCACCTGGTTCCACTCCCCTGGTGCCCGGGGCGGGGAGTGGGAGGGTCAGTCAGTCCTGGGCCCACTGCAGCCAGCCTCCCTCTCCTTTCCTCACTGAGAGGAACTTACAGGTGTGTCCAGGTGGGTGGGAGTACATCCTAGTGGCTTGGAGTCCCAAGCTTTGGAATTAGGAGCAGGGCCTTTCAGGAGACAGAATTCTAAGGGAGTGTGACTCCTAGGAAGGCAGATCCCTAAGAAGATGCAACACCAGGGTCCAAATTCAAGAGGGCCAGGACCTAGGGGAGTCAGACTTCTAGCTTCCCAGAATTCTTAGAGGACAGGGCCTTCCAGATGGGCAGAATCATAAAGAAGCAGAGACTCCCAGGGGACAGAATTCTAAGGATGCATTTTACCCAAAGAAGTAAAATGCTGTGGGGCAGAGAAGTCTAATGGGCAGAGCCTGCCTGAGAGTAATTCGATTTCCTCCATAAGAAAACCTTTCCAAGGTCTTGGGAGTCCAGGTGCGCAGGGGAGTGGGGGTGGGGGTGGGGAATCCTGCAGAGTGGAATTCTAACTGGGTGGAAATTCAAGGGAGTGGCTAAGGGAACAAGCTATACAACCGGATGGGAGGGAAGAGGAACTCTCAAGGAATTAAAGCTGGGCGGTGAAGCATCCAGGAAAGTCTCCTAAGGCAACAAATCTAAAGGTTGAGGGGCCTCAGGCGGCTAGGGCCCTCGCTTTGAGTTCTAAGGAGGAGGGGCTTTTCAAGAGCGCATCCAGGGGGCGGGGCCTTGCGAATGATAGACTACTAAAGGGGTGGGACTTCCAGGAGCACTGGGCTCCGACTGGCCCTGCACTTGAAGAGGCGGGGCCTCGCCAGAAGAGCGGATTCCAGGGAGGTGGGGCTCCACCGGGAAAACTCCACCAGGGGGCGTGGCCTCGTCGGGCTCAGGCTTCCCGGAGGAGGAGCCTCCCGGGGGCTGGAATTCCAGGGGCGGGGCTCACCTGCGGCACAGAGGCGGTGCATGCGCAGGTAGCTGATAGTGAGGCGCATGATGGAGGCTTTGTCCAGGTGGGCGCTGACGCCGCGCGCGAAGGGCAGCGTGTGTGCCAGCTGGTACAGCACCTCGGTCTCCTGGCTGCGCCGGCTGCGCGCCGCATCCCGGGACTTCTCCTTGCGCAGCTCGGTGCTGGACCTGCGGGCATGGGCAGCGTTCACTGGCGGAGTTCCGGGAAGGGAAAGAGATGGATGGTACCAGCAAGTGGGGCGTTTGGAGCCCGGGCTCATCGGCCTCGCTGTGTGGCGTTCTGTGGTCTGGAATGTTACAATCTGAGCCCTCCTAGCCCTGGGTTTTACCTGTCCTGGTGCCAAACCATGCTGCCCTCCTGGCGCCTCGCTCCTTTCTGTGGCATGCTTCGGACCGCTCTGTCCCCTCCCTGACTTCTATGCAGTTTATTTCCCGAGCCGGGGACGCCCGGGGGACAGAGAGGCCTCCTGATGGGAGGGGGATGGCTGAGCTGGCCAGGGGCCAGAAGAGAGAGGGAGCTTGAAGATGGCTGGAGCTTCCCAGGTCCCCTGCCCTTCAGCCTCCGGGAGCCCCCTGCACTGCCCTTTCCCCTCCTCAGTGAGCTGAGTCCTCAGAATCTTGGAGCAGAGATATCTCAAAGTCTAAGGAGGCACCAATAGGGGCCCTAAGGGGCCGCCCGCCAGGGTGACACAGCAAACCAGCCCCTGCTTCTGCCCAGCAGATAGCTCTTCACCCTCTACCTTTTAATCAACTTCAAATACCTGAATTTTGAGAGTGGGGCTGGGTTGGGGGGATGGATACTGTTTTGATGGAAACATCTGCCACGTATCCGGTTTTCCTATATCAGTACCTGTGCCAAGTGGGAAACCCATGCAATGCCCAGACAACTCTCAAGGAAGCAAATCCATTATCCCCATTGAACAGACCAGGAAACGGAACAGCGAGGTGCAGCACACTTGCTGCTGATGTGAGGCCAGGGATTGAACAGGGGTTTGCCTGCTCTCCTAAGATTTCTCTGTTTTATGGCCCTGGATTTATGTTCAAGTTTTAAAGTGTTTCACCCTGTTTCTGCCACCATCTTTGAATTCAAACTCCATGTCTATCTGAAGCTGTAGTTTGGCTTTTGAATAAAAAATTAAAGGATATCTTGCTTCTTGTATTATATATGTAGTCTTATCTACATTTACAATATTGGCAAAAACCATTCCTAATAAGCAGCCATCAATTGCTAAGCATTATGGGTCTGATGCTGCAGGTATTCTGCTGGGTGCACTCATGACATCCTCAGGGGACCTCTAGAGGGAAGCTTTTAGTATTCCATTTTTTGAAGGGAACATTGAATCTCTGCGGGGTGAAGTCCTTTGCCCAAGAAGTCAGAAGGCCAGTACCTGGCTGAGCTGGGATTTTAACCCCAGCACTGAGGTTCCAAAATCTTCAGTCTTTTCTCTGATCCCCTCCTTGTGACCCCCCACCTCACCCCCAATGAAGCAGAATATCTAGGAGGGGAGGCTGTCCTTTCCTAAATTCAGGGGAGCTGAGGTCATTTCTGGGGTGGCATCAACCCCACCCCCTAGCATGAGGGGTGCAGAGGAGATTTCTTGTCTGGTTGCAGAGGGAAGAAATGCACTCAGTTCAAGAGAGTGGGAGGCACAGAAGGGGGCAGGCTAGGTCGAGGGTTGGAGGGGGTGAGATATGGTCCCCATCCCCTCCCTCTTGGCTGGCGAGGGTGGGGGGCAGGGGCCTCAGTCCTGCCTGCCCAGAGGACATTCCGTCCTGTACTGTTCTGTTCCAGCCCTGTTTGTCTTCCTGCCCAGAGGGTGGGGGTGGGCGGGCCTCCCTGAGCTGGGGGCCCTGACAGAGGGAACAGGGAGTGGGAAGATGAACGGAGGTGGGGCACTCGCCCCACCTCCCAGGCAGCTGGGTTCCTAATCCCCTCGGTGGCAGGCTTCTTCCTCCATAGAAGGAGCCAGCTGGTGGCTGCAGAAGGACCTCCTTCCAGCTAGCTCCCAGTCTGTTCTCCGGATGTTCTGACGGGAAGTGGGGGCCTCACTCTGGGTTTCTGGCTTTTCTGGCCTTACAGTTAGAGTGGAAGCCAGTTCCTTGGGTTCGGGGTTCCAATCCCAACTCCACTACTTATAAGCTCTGTGGCTTTGGACACGTTGCACGGACCCCGTGGGCACAGTAATGGAACCCACCTTGTGGGGTGTTTTGAATTTTAATGAGTTGATATATATCAAGGGCTTAGAAAACTAGATCTGGCTATTGGTTAGTGCTAAATAAAGGTTAAACTTACTCTCCCTTTGTCCACGTGAGGGATAGAAGGCTTGTGCACCGGGGAAATCTGTGGGCTTAGACAGTAACTCTGGTAGGTGCCATTATGTGTGTGGCTTTTACACGAGCACCCTGGGAGGAGGACTAGTAACGGTGAGAATCATAATGTGAGCTTGGGAGCTAGAGACCTCACTAAATCCTCCCAACAACCCCCTGGGGCAGAAGTGAGCTCCCTTCACAAAAGGAAGCAGCAGAGCTGGAGCAATGGAGTCCCCACTGGACCAACCCAAGTGGCATCCCAGGGTGAAGGCAGGGGGCTGCTCATCAACTCTCAGCGTCGCTCAGCCACTCCTCAGTTAACCCACCCTGTACCTGGACCTTCCTTGGGGGTTATTCTGATGTGGAAGCAGGTCCCGGGAGGTGATGAACTTGCCTGAGGGCACGCGGCGCTCAGAAGCTGAGCCAGGTCTGTCCACTGCCACCCAGAACTCTGACTTGAACTCAGTTTGTTGTCACCTGTCAGGAGTTCTGCCCCCCCCAACCTTTTCCTCACTGGCTTCTCAACTTGGTCTGGGGTGGGGAGGAGGAGGGACGCCTCCCATTTCCCAGGATATGAAATTGGAGATCAGAGAGGCAGACATTGGCCCAAGGCCACACAGCTAAGAAGTGGGTGGGCTTGTGCCTTTCAATGCTCTTCCTCAGTGGGGGTGTCCAAGGGACCCCTCCCATGCTCCTCTTTGCCTGGTGGCTTCAGTCCCTTCCCCCTGTCCCACTGCTGCTGCCTCTGGATCTCCTCAGCTGGCCCCATGCCCAACCCTGGTCCAGCCCCTTGGCACTGGGCCCAGCCCGAGACGTGCTGCTGGAACCCTGCCACCCTTCCCCGTGTTCCAGCCAAGAACAGGGGGTGGGGCCAGGAGGCCCCAGGGTGAGGCCTGAGAAGGGGGACAGGGTCGGTCCTTCCCCCCACCAAGAGGGAGAGAAGCCCACCTCTTCCCACCCTGAAGGACTTAGACCCGAGAGCAAAGACCTGACAAAAGTAGGGAGCCCCCACCCCACATTCAGGGCTCTCCTGGTTCTCTGGGTATGGAGGGGGGCTCACAAAACCTTTGTGGACCGGGCGGTAGCCGAGGCTTAGGTTTTATCTGGGCAGGGACCCTTCTTGGCACTGCTCAGAGGGGACCTGAGAGGCCAGAGGCAGGATTTGGGTTTGAGAAGGAGCTTGGGGTGGGCGTTGGGGGAGTCTCTCTGACCCCAACTTTGCTTGTTCTCAAGGACATGGTAATCCCGCGGGGTGCTCATCCCCAAAGTTCTATCTCCTGGGGCACCCTTGACCTCCGTGGGCACCCAGATGGTGTGCCCGTAGGGGACTTCCGGAGAACATCTATGCCCAGGAGTGGCTGCAAGTGCATCTGGAAGAAGGGAAGGGGGCAAGAGGGGCCCACTCACCATCACCCCCTTTGGCTGAAGTGCCATCCTGGGGGCGCAGGACCGCTGGAGCGGAGCCGGGATCGGGGTGCGAGTTATGGTGTGCGGAGTGGGATGACACCACAGGAAAGGGCTGGCCTTAGGTGGCGAGGGGGCCCCCACCCGGCCAGGAGGGGGCGCTGGGAGGGGCAGGGCCACGGGCTGGCCCAGAAGGGGTGGGATGGAGTTCCCTGGTGGGCCCAGAGCCAGGGACTGGAATAGACTGGGAGAGAAGAGAGCCTGGAGTGGGGGGGGGGGTAAAAAAACTTAGGGGTGTGGATGGATCTAATCAGACCTTTGAAGCCAGGGAGGAGGGAAGCCGTGAGGCTTGCTGAATGCCTCAGATTGGATAGGAAAACCAAGGGCCTGGGACATTTTCTGGGATCCCATGGAAACCTGAGAGTGGTCCCAGAGCATAGGTTGCCTCTCTCTGCCCCAGCAGATCTGCACCTGCTGGGTGATGAACCCTAGCTGAGACCTGAGCAGGGGTGCTCCAGTTAGCTTGTGTGTGGGGGTCTCCTGTTGAATCAAGCACAGTGCCTTGCCATAGGCTCTCCCCAAAATAAGGCTTGGGTGTGGCCCTCATCCCTCAGTACCCCAAGACTGGTGAGGGGGGGTAGTGGATGAATGAGGAATGGGGTCAGACTTTGGGAAAAGGGTCATGCTCGTTCCCCAGTTATGAGGGGGATGAGGCTACTATTTAAAAGGATACCAAAAGGCTTCTGGGAAGGATCTCAGGCAGCGTCTAAAACGGACTTTTTCAGCCCATCTCTAGGGGAACCCAAGGTTGGGAGACTGTCATTAAGGGTCCAATCAAAGGGGATCTCTCTTCCTTTTGGTACTCAGAAGGCGAATCCCTAAGGGATTCCCTCTATCTGAGAATGGCCAGTTTGTAGGTAGGCACCCATATCCCCTGGGATCCCAAGGGTCGGAGGGTGGCTAAGCACCACCTCCATTCTGAGACTTTGGAGACCAGAGGGATCACTGTGCAAGGTAGAAAGGTTCCCCCCACTCCCGAAAGCCCGGGCACTGCCCAAAGGCAACCACCTTCAATTCCATGTGGATCTCAAGTTTCACCCCAACCAGGCGGGGAAGCGAAGTGGGGTGTCAGGAAATAGGGAATCACGACCCCCAAACCATTCCTGGTGAGAGGGGCGGGACAGGCAAGGAGTTGGGCTGGAAGGTGAGGCGGGGTGTGCCTCCAACCGCTCGCCCCGGGGCGTCCTTGGCTCTCATCCGCGCACCTCCCCCATCAGGGGTCCCGGGAAGGAGAGCCCCCCAATTCCCATAATTTTGTCCCTAAATCCCAGTACCTTGCGCGCTGCAGCCCCAGTGCCATGACTCGCCCGTCTCGGCTCCCGAGCCCTCCGAGGCCGGGAGCCCCCTCCCCTAGCCTGTGAGCCCCCTCCCCAGCCCCGCCCCCGCCGCACCATTGGCTGCTCCGCGCCCGGCCTGCGCTCTGGTTGGGCTACAAGCCTGTCACTCCCGAGGAGGAGGCGGGCCCAGAGGAGAAGACTTGGAACTCTGAGGGGGGATACCGCGTAACGCACACCCCCAGCCACGCCCCTCGCCGTGGACTTCCTCGGCAGCGTCGCCCGCGCGGTCAGCCGGCCGCTCCTTCACTCGCCGGGCCTCTGAAGTTCCAAGAGAGTGCACTCTGTTCTCTGTTCCCTGTGCCAGGGGCCCATCCTCTAACCCCACCTCTGTTCCACCCCTCCATTTCCTACCGCAGGTTGGGCCCCTTTGGCCTCTTTCTTGTCCCTTCTTGCCTCCCGCCCAGCCTCCTGAAGCCCCTCTTCCTTTCCAATGAACCCCAACCTCCCCTCCTGCTCCCAACTCCCAACCCTTCGCTAATTCCACAATCCTTCCGTTCTTCCAGCGCCTCCTCTTACCGCAACCCTACCCCTCCATCCCTCTCCACTGTCCCCTAACCCCTTGGCCTCCCTAACTCTCATGTTCCCACTGATGAATAATTAGTTTTATGTCAAGTAAATATGTTTTAACTCAATCACACCCACTTTTTTTTTAAACGCTTTATTTTATTGTTTAATTGTAGATGGACACAATATCCCCATTTTATTTTATGTGGTGCTGAGGATCGAACCCAGGGCCCCACACATGGCCCCACACATACTAGGCAAGCGCTCTACCGCTGAGCCACAAACCCAGCCCCATCACACCCACCTTTAAAAGGAGCAGAGAAATGGTAACTTTTTACCAGTCGAGTAAGGAGAATGAGGTACAAAGCCACAGCCTTACCCACTTGGATAAGAGAGTTATGCATGTGAAAGGGATGTTCATGGATCCGTATACAGGATGCAACTGCGGGCAGGGTAGAGGACGCTGTAACAGAAGTCCAGAGTGTAGCAGAAGTGACCTTGCTGATCCTTGAACTTAAGAGGCAAGTCCCACCTCTGGGCCTCTCTGCACATGCAATTCCAGCTACCTGGCTCTCACCTCACCCCAGTATTCCATTGTTTTCTTTTGGGGAACTACTTCTCTCCTCTTTCAATCTATTTAATTTGAAAAAGGCTGGCCATACCTCTGCCCTCAACAACTCCAGAGAGAGACAGAGGACCCACACCTAGCCAATCAACTTTTGTTTTCCCTGGCCACAGTGATTGGTTCAAGGAAGGCATGTGACTTAACCCTGCCCAGTGAGAACAACCCTGAGACATTTGCTGACACTGTCAGGAAGGAGATTTTTTATTTCTGCTAGAGTTGCCACGCTCCAGCTGATGGGCCTCATGACTGATGTTTAGGGGAAACTGGATCAAACCGAGGGCTTTCAGCATGCTGGGCCCATGCTCTACCACTGAGCTCCACCCCAGCCCGAGGCCTACTGTGTTAACATGTGGATTGTTTCCATCTTTTGGATATTGTAAATAGTGCTGATAAGGACCTGTGTAGGCACACTTGCTTGATACCTGTTGTCAGTTCTTTCCAGAATACACCTAGAGGTGGAAGTGTTGGGGCATGTGGTGATTCTGCTTAACTTCTGAGAAACCACCCAAGTCTATTCCACAGCAGATGCACCCTTTCACAATCCCACCAGCCACGAGCCAGGCTTCCAGTTTCTCCTTACCCTTGCCATCACGAGGGCCATAGGCCCCTGTGGGGGAGAGAAGTCCTGCCTCTTCTGCCTTAGGGTGGAGTGTCTGCAAGAAAACCCCCCAGTTCCCAGGGCCCAGAGCTACCACCCCTCATTCTAAACTGCAAGGGTTTCCATCTCTTTTTCTTCTCTGAATGAATGACGAGAAGCCTGCTTCCTCTCTTAGAGTGACTGCCATGCCTTGGAAGGATGTTGGCTGTATGTCCCGGGAACTGGGGGAGGGGAGTGTCCCATTGTCTTTAGGATAGGCCTCTGGTTAGGAGCACTACTTTTGGAGTTTGAGAAACCTGGGTCAAATGCAAGCTCTGTCACTTACATCATAGAGACTGTGGTGTGTGTGTGTGTGTGTGTGTGTGTGTGTGTGGGTGTGTTTGTGTATTTTTTTGGGTACTGGGGTTTGAACCAAGGCTGCTTAACCCTTGAGCCACATCCCCAGCCCATTTTAATATGTTTTACTTAGAGACAGGGTCTCGCTAAGTTGCTTAGGGCCTTGCAAAGTTGCTGAGGCTGGCCTCAAACTTGCAATCCTCCTGCCTCAGCCCCCTGAGACGCTGGGATTACAGGTGTGCTAGAGTTAATTAGATCAGGTGTGTGAATGCTAAGCATAGCACCTGGTACCTGGTGAGTTTGAAGTATTGGCTGTCATTCACTTGTATGAAGGTCTCCTAAACGCCACGTTTCCCTGTGCAGATGAAGAGGTATATGTGGCACTCATGCAGGGGACTACCCCCAGTGTGGTGTGATGTTAAATATTAAATTGGAATTGGAGAACATCCCACTAAGTGAAAGAATCCAGACCCAGAAAGTCAAGGGTCAAATTTTTCACTCATAGGTAGAAGCTAGACGAAAATAAGAGGGAAAAAGTTGTGGGGGAATCACATGAAAATAGAAGGGATCAGTGAAGAGGAGAAAGGGTTGTATATTTTCTGTTGTGTATGGAAGCTGGAGAGGAAAAATGAACAGCAAGTGTAGGTCTTGGAAATCAAAGGGAGATCAGTAGAATATAGGGAAGGAACTAGAGGGAAGGATGAGGGAAGAGAAAAGAGAGATATTGGGAAACAATATCGACAGATTATATGCTATCTTGTGTGCCTGTGCAAGTATATAACAATAAATCCCACCATTATGTATAATTATAATGCACCAATAACATGGGAGGGGAAAAAAAGGGAATCCTTGCTGG